AAGAGTGGAAACGAACCTAAAACTGGTTTGCAATGGAGCTGAGCGGTTTATGGAGTAAATTATTGGACAGTCTTGGCATTAAAGACTAAAGCTGTTTTCAGGAGAGGCAGGTGTCTGACTTCTGTTTTCATGAGGGGATTGTAAAGTGTTTGATCTGTTGGTTGGTGGTCTTATGTTTTAATGAACCCAAAGTTGCAGTGATTCTGCTGAGATATCCATGGAACCTTTCTTTTCCCTTCAAGATGCACAGCTTCGCTTCAACTTTTGTTTTGGTTGTCTGGTTTGGTTTGGTTTTTTTTGTTGTTCTTTCTTCCTGCATTCCTGTGAAATCTTGGCAGTTAGATACAAGAGCATTGGGTAATGTACCCTAATACTTTTGCTGTATATTGAGAGGCCTCAGGCACTGGGGTGTCCTGCTCGTCTGTAGCAAATGGGTTGGGTGCAGTAGATGGTTCCTTTGAGTCCTGGGCTCCATTGGGCAGAGGATCCCAGTTATCAAGGGCGGTCATACTCCAGGGTTACCTAATTTTAAGGAATGTTATTGAGAACACTGAACATTTTCAGAAGAAAGGCTGGACTTACCAATGACAAATACTGACAGGTAGTGTCTGGATAGCCTGTGAGAACACAGAGCTATGAAGTAACTTAGTAACTTGATTTACTGGCACCCTGTTTACATGCTCTGTATTCTCTACAGCTGCTGTTGTAACTGATATTTTTAGTCCCCCAAAAAAATTTGTGGTTGTGAATTTGTCAAGTTAATGTTTTTATGAAGAACTTAAATGAAGAAAAATAGAGCACTGCAGTCAGTAAGTGTAGTGAGTCATTTCTGCAAAAATATTTGCTGTTGTCAATGGAAGTTCTGTGGGATTAAACTTGCAGAAGTAACATTTAGCTTTCCACCTGCTTATTCATACATTTTAAAACCATTTTTTTCTGTATTTTGTGCATATATTTACAAGTGTTAAAATGTTTTATTTGAACCGAGGAGCCCAAAAGTGGACACAATGTCCACTTGGACTTTGTACTGCTGGTCAGAAGCTGCTGAGTCTGTCAGTGCAGCCAATTTCCCTCAAGTTTGCTTATCCAGTCCATACCTCCCCAGTTTCCTTCAAGGATACAGGAGACCGTATCAAAGGCCATCCTGAAGTCAGAGTTCAGAGCATTTGCTACCTTCCCCTTCCTTGTTGGCAGTGCCAGAGTCACCCTTGATAAATCCATATGGGCTGTTAGCAGTCACCCTGCCCATCATGTGGCTGGCAATGGCTCCTAGGAGATTTGCTCTAGAACTTTCCCAAGGACAGAGGTGAGGCTTGCAGGTACCTGAATCTTCTTGCCCTCCTCGAAGGTGGGTGTGACATTAGTGTTTTTCCAGTCATCAGGAACCTGCCCTGATCACTACGATGTTTCAGTGATAGCAGCGTTGGCCATCTCCCTCAGTGCCCTGAGGTGCATCCCATCTGGTCCTGTTGACTTCTGTGTGGCCAGCTGGGCTCAAGAGCTTCCCAGCTGCCTTCCTTTACAGCTGGTGTTGCTCCAGTCCCACAGGAGGCTCAGGGACCTAGGAGGCCCGATGGCAAAACTAACCAGTGAAAACTAAGCCAAAAAAGACATCAAGTAGATAGGCTTTTTCACATTCTTTGTCACTAGGTCCCTTTTCCATTAAGCAGTGGGCTCATGTTTTCCTTAGCCATGGTTTTGTACTATTTCAGACATATTCTAGTATTGTCACGTAGTTAACTTCTCTGGCAGACTCGCTATAAGTGAGCAGCATCTCCATATGCATATTCTAAAGCAAGGCATGGATAACGCATAGAAAATTCTGAAGGCAACAGAAAAGATGAATTGCAATTTTCCAAGTAGAAGTACAGAATTATGTAATGAAAGTTGACGGCGAAAGTTTAAAATTAACAGGAATCAGTTTTCACACAGTGGATTTGCAGTGGATTCAACTGCACGAAACAGTTTCACAGAATACTTTGAAGGACACTGGTTTTGATGTTTTAAAAAGATACCTGAATGGATATTTGTGTGATACCTGTTTGTTCTAGATGTGAACTCTGTCTGACATCTGTCTGATGTCTTTGGAGGCGTAAGTCTGTTGTGCCTACAAAGCTACTGGTTTAGGAGAAAAGTTCGTTTTTAGGTTTCCTCCAGCTCCTCGAGATTGTGAGGTACCAAGCAGCGTCTGACACTGGACTTGTAATTACATGGATCACTGCCTTGCACGGCAGTGGTGCTTTCTGTGGCCTCTGTTGACAGTAATGGTGAATATTAACATTTAAGGAACCTTTCAACATTCTCTAATCGCTTTTTAAAATGCACTTGCAGTCATGGGAAATTCCTTTTTGGACTTTCCCATCTTATGATTGAGTGCACTCTTGCATGTGAAATCTCTGTGTCTGAGTCACTATTTATCGCAGGAGGAATAAAACCTGAAAAGTATACCACAGTTTTGGTACTTCCTCAGGCCATTAGTTAAGAGTAGACATAAATAATTTAAAATTTGTTTTCTATGAGGGGAAAAAGACCTTTTTTCCTTTGTTTTTCTTATCTCTTCACTTATAAAACCTGGTCTACTTCAGTGAATATTGTCTGCAATGGAAGCTCTTCTGATGAAGAACTATTTTATGTGTGGCACTCTTGTAGCTGTGCCTGTCAACTCATACAACATAAATAATTTGAATTTATTTAAAGAATGTGCTGTGTGTGTTTATGGAGGTGTTTTTTTGCTTATGTTAGAAGCATTATATGCAAAATTCAGTAGCATGAGTTAGCATTCTCTGTACATTCAAGTGCATCTGTGTGTTAAATATGTGATACTAAAAATGTTTCTATGATTTAACTGTATTTAAGTCCTCAGAGGGGAAGCTTTTCAGCAAACTGAACTTAAAATATAATAAACAAAATGATAACAAAATGTTGCTAAGCCACAACCCATTAAATGAGTAAAAATAATATTTGAAGGGGTTTTTTGGTAGATGTGTCACATTTGGCAGTTATTCAGGAAATGTAAGTTTTACTATTCAGACCATCATTTCACATAGTGTTACTCCTATAGTAGCTGCAGGAAGTGTTTTTCTTCTAAAATCACCCATATCCGTGCCATTATAGCTCTTACATAGTTGCTCCTCCAGAAGGAAAATGTATTTTTGAGTGAGTACTTCAAGTTACTTGGGTCCTGGTGTGTGCTGTTTGCAGAATTCCCGCTGAGCAGAATAAGATCCCTTTCATGTAAAGGCCTGTGGAGACTGCATTTCTTGAAAGTTTTGATTAGCGGCTTCCAATGAAGGTTTAGAAAGTTAAACGTCTTGTGCTGTGATTAAGGCGAGGACCCTAAAGAAAGTTATTTGTAGGGTGCTGGAAGTCACTGGCAAAGGAAGATTAAATCAAATTATCAATATTCCTGTCTTAGATACTGCAGTCTATTTACAGTCCTCTAACGCCTTAAACCTGGGTGAATATGAATCTTAACTTGATAGGTGAAGTGGTTTCCATGACCTTTAGGGATAGGTATAGTCCTTACCATTTTTCCACTTGGATCAAAGAGGTTTTGTTCTGATGCAGGAGACTGCTGCTGTTCTTGTGTGCTCTATTTTATAGAAACAGTCTGCTATTAGACTAATTATCTTGCCTTCTCAGCTGCCTTCAGTACTAAACATTTGGAAATAAGATACTTTTCTTCACCTGTTTCTTCTTTGCAAGGGTATTTGCCCAAGACTAATAGTTCATCACTTGCTAATGAATCTATTATCATGAATGTGACAAGTTACCTACTCATTGCTTCCCAAGAAAGACCTTTATTTGCAAGGTGGTATTACATTTTTTGACTGTTACGTGCTTAGGATGAATTACTTTTTACTGTTTTACGCTACTGTTGCTACTGTCATTCTTACTAACCATCTGTATCTTTTCTTCTTGCAGCTTGGGTCCTGTGTTTGCGCTGTTTGTACCATTTTATTCCTCCATTCCGAGAGTGCAGGTGACACAAGTATTAGGCCACTTTTCCATCACGAACAAGACACTGGTCTATATACTGGGTTTACAGGTATGGTATGTACTTGCTTGTTCATCTTTTAATGAATTACTAATATAGTAGTTAGCATTTCTGTATGTCTGTCTGTCAATTTTGATGCTTCCGTGCATACAATTCCACATATGTTTAGCCACTGACTGTCACGTCAACTAAAATATTGAAAAACATGAGTTGCAAGTATGCATTTCCATATGCTGAAGTGGTAGGCAAGTGATCTGTTCTGTTGTCTTCTGTCTTGATTATATTGCTCAAGAAAATATAATAGACAATTCTATAACTATTTTTTTTAAAAAAAACAGAAATTAAATAGATGAAAACAATCTGATGCTAAGGCATATGTGTCTTTCACCTTTCTAATTTGCTTATATTCTTGGTTTTATTTTCCCTTTGTTTGTTAGAACTCAAACAAAGCTGTAGAATTTTTCTGTGGTAAGACTGTTGGTAAATAATCAAGGTTTTGGCCGCATTCTGCTTTTATATAAATTAATATTATTTGTATATCAAACATTACAGGTAATTTAAATAGTAATTAAAATGTAATTTATTTAAATAGTATTTTATTTAGTAGTATTTTTAACAATAGTATTTAAATAGTAATTTAAAAAATAGTGTAACAGAGCACAACAGTATATTGTAGCATTATGTTAAATATGAGTGGAAAAGTATAGGTACTGGGTACAGAAAGGCAGTAGTTCTTAAAAACAACAAAAAACCCCCAAGAGCCTAGAAATAAATGGGCACTCATGCCACCACCTGAGTTATGAAATAGGAGACGTGCAAACTTATGAGAAATTGTACTCATTTTTATATATTTCAGGGACTCAAAAATAGTTTTAGCACTAGCAATGGAAAGCACCATAGTTGTGAAGTGTGGTAGAGAGGATTTGAGAATGAATGCTCAGTTTCAGAATATTGACTCGTGCTCCACGTGAACATTTCATTCATCCATTTTGCTGTACAACCTTTTGATTTCTGCCCCAGCACCTTATTTTCTTGATCTCACAGAAATCTTGTTTCCTCTCTTCCAAACCCATCCATAGCACGACTATTCTGGTCTTTAGAAAAGCCATGATATTGTCTGAGCTCTTTGCCATTGTGTCCTTTGCCTTTTGCTTTCACACACCCACCACCTCCACTACAGATCACTATTTATCACTGTGTCTTCGCTGGCGCTTTCCCCGCTGTATACAGAACGGTTGCTGCCGTCACACAGAGGCTGAGGGAAAAGTCATTTGCGTTCTCTTCATTTGTAAACTCTGCCCTTATCTCGAGTCACTCTTTCCGTAGCCAGAAGAGGGAAGGTGTTCGGATGATTCAGTCAGCATTGTGTTGAACTACTTTGGTAACCAGTATCAGTCTAATTTTCAGCCCATTTTTCTGGCTGGTAATTACCTTCTCCAGGTGATTAATCACATACTTCACTAGAAATGATGGGCTGCCCTGTTGGCTTATCAAGATTTATTTTTTTTTAAGAATCCACTCCGACCTTTTTCTGTGTTTTCATGTAGACAAATGTGCTACTGGGTGAGAACTTTGCTTCTTTAAATTTGATGCTTACATTTAGTCTCTATGTGACTGCAGGTTTGAGAGCTTCACTTGCACTGCCTGCCGTGCTTGGAACTCTTCTCCTCTTGCTGCTGAGTCATTTCCTTTGGCTCAGTCTGTCTTTCAGACTTGTTTTTCTGTGCAGCCTATAACTGACATCCTGTTGTACTTCATATGCTATATGAAAATAAAATGTATTGTTCTGTACAAGGAGAACAATTGTTGGATCCCTGTGTTTTTTCCACTTCTGCTACTTCTGGAATATGTATTTTTTTAATGTTAAACTGAATTTTCACAGAAATAGATGTCTGACTTCTCCCATTGTCATGATAAGTACATAATCTATATCAAATTGCAATAGTAGCTCAGACAACAACAACTGTGTAAAATAAAAATTTTAAATTGCTGCTTTTGTCTTCTAGCTCTTAACCTCTGGTTCCTACATCTGGATATTAGCCTTAAGTGGATTGGTAAGTCTTACTGTTTTAAAAATCCTGTGTTGCTTAAAGCACTCTGTTATATATACAGTCAGTGCAGGATATTTGGACTCAAAAAGAACAGAAATTACTGAGTCATGGTTTTATTTGTAATGGTAAGTAGAAAGTTTTCATCTTTTAACTTCCAAGGGTGTAAAGCACTGGCTGGTTGGTGATAAACAGACAGACAACAGAAGTCTTGGTTAATCTTTGCAGGATGCCACTGCTCTCAGACACCCTAAAATTAATTTTATGGTCATGGATATAGCTTTAGACCCACAATTATACATGAGACTATTAAGGAAAAGGTAGAAATATTTACGCTATTTTTCCCCCAGTTTTCAGCAAGCCTCAAGGTTTTTTTCTGGGGAGCAGCTTTTAGCAACTGGGCTGTGAGGATTTTTCACGTTTTGCTGTTCTGCTTGGACATCTGTGCATAGCCATTTCTCACTGATAACAGCAGTAAAGATGCAAAATCACTTTCTTCACACCAGTCAGATAAAGTCAGTGTGGTCTGTCCTTTTCCTTTCCGACTGTGTTTATAGTACTAAGGCACACAGTGCTGAAACAGATTGTACTAAAACTTCTAGATTGTTACATACTGATAAGTTGCTTTTAAAATTTTACAAACTTGGGAATTAGGAGTTGGGACTCTGATTTCTTGGCCCAGAATACTGTCGGCTTTTCAAGCAGTGAAAGTGCCACCTCTTCCAAAGAAGCTCATTATTAAGTTGATGCAGTCTTAAGAAATACTTAAATTGTGCCTTTGCTATTTAGAACCTACTAATCTGAATTTGCAGTGAGCAGAGAGTAAAATGCCTATGGACACTTCACATATTACTGCTATAACTCAGCAGTTTGGTCTCTTACCGTTTGCATTGACTGTTCCAAAATACTCTGTGAACTCGCAGGAAAGCTGAGTGATGGAGCAGTAAACAGTGGAGATCTGCTCAGAGATTGCTCTGACCGTAAATATCGATGAAAACTCTGCAGCTAACAAACCAGAATTTCTCTCTCCTGGAGATCAGCCCAAGCCTCAGTGCCCGCCTGAGGACCTGTGACTTCCTCCAAATGCTCTACCCTTCCTGTTACTCTTCTGGCTCTTTTAATAGCCCTTCCTTTTGAACAGGTGTTCATTAGAGGGGGAAGGAAAGGAAAGAAAAGGAAAGGCATTTTAACTCCCTCTTTCCTGGTGGCAGGAACTGTATGTATACTTGGCTGTAAGTGTGTGTGTGTGTGTGTATAAAAGACTTTAAAAGAACAGCTCAAATATTTTTTTTCATAATACATTATGCAGTTCTTATTTTAATTCCCTTTTAATGTACAGTTTTATTCAGCTGTATAATGCAACTTTCTTAGGATGCTTTTTCATCAATGACCTTTTTTTAATTGCAGGTTGACAGTATGTTTTACACAGGCGTAAGTCCGTAGGAATACATTGAGGTTTCCATGTGTCACAAGAAGGCTTTAAGTTTTGGTATTGCTTCAGTCAGCATGAATTAAGTCGTCATCAGTGGTGATGTTTTCAGTCTGTTTTTTCTGCAGCAAGCAGAGAGCTGCACTCTGCTATTTTGTGATAAGTGCTGTGATTTGGAAAGAAGTTCATATCATGAATTTGAGCCATTTTTTGCACAGCGTATCTGTCACACTACTGTAAATAAGTCTCTTTTTCTTCTCTGTTAGAAGTGATAATTCAGCATCTTTTGAGAAAGCTTGATGAAAAAGTGAAGTTTCACAGTATGTAAAATAATCTGAAGGGATGTGAAACCCTATAAAGGCACCTTTTACTATTACAAGTGTGGATACTTCATAACATATCCATATGTACAATAATAGAAATATGCAGGTTGTCAAATCTATGTTAAGTCTTTCCGATAACCTATGTATTTTTGTATTTCTTACTGCTCTTGACATTTTCTCACATCATGCTGTATCTTCATTGAAACAAACTTTCATGTATTTGTACAAAAAGGCTGAGTAAGTGCATGAACACCAAGTCAGCTAGGTGTGATATTTAGTCACTAGTTCATTGCCTGTTAGGCACTTCACTGTCTGTATTTTTAGCTCTAAAGATTATTTAGACACTCATATGACTGTATATGATGGTGTTCTGCAATTTAGCCTTTGTTGCACTTCTCCTTATGTGGAGTATTAAAAACGGATGGTGTCGGCACGATTTCTGAATTGTCAGTTTCCACTTTCTCTTCACCAAGTTCCAAGTTTAGATTTATTTAAAGTCTCACAATGTCTATTTTAACATGTAATGAACACTCTTACACTAAACAGGATCTAACTTTCCAGGTATGAGATGTGGCACTGGAGATTGATTTCTGTGTTCATCCTTGCTAGTGATGTTTGCCTTCCCTGTGAATTCCAGGCAGGGTGTAGAGCAACTGGGAATTTTTCCTCCTTGAGTTCTTGTTTCCAGTGGTTTTAAGCAATGCCACCATTACAGAAATGTATTTCGTGCGTGCATATGTGTTTGCATGTCTGTATAAATCTATGTATGCAGGTAGGCATTGATGTAATGTGCCTGATGATAGAGAATTTTAGACAATCTGTAGTTTGGCACTGGATTCTTCTCAATTACAGAGATTACAGCCTGTGTTGTTTTTGCAATACAAAAGGTCTGCTGTGTCTATCTTTGCCATATCTTCCTAGATCTTTAATTTTGACTCAACGTAGAAATACACTTTTAAAGGCAACTTCTTTACTCTCCAGATGAAACTGGAGTACCTCTCAATTATCATTCTTTTGATATGACCAGTATGGGCCTTGGAATTTCAGTTGCTGGTATGTTGTGTAAAAGATGCTGTTTAAATACATGATGTTTACATACAAAAAAAGTAAAATTTAAGAAGTAGACTGTGAACAAATTTGCAAGTCTGATGTAGTCAGTAATCTGTAGTGTTATTCTTCTTATAATTTATGAGACTAATTTAGTTTCTTGTGATTTGTTTTGCCAGGGGCACACCATATTTGGTACTTACAGTCCATATTGGTTTCTTACGATAGGGGTGTTTTTATGCCATAAAATTAGGAAACTATTAGGAAATAGTCACGCAGCCTATTTCCATTTGACTTGAAGCCAGAAATTCTTTTAGTAGTTCTTTACAGAAGTGCTTCTATGTAATGTGCATCAGTTTAGTGAAGGCCTGAAACAGTTTCCCTACTATTTTCCTCTTTAAAACAGTCAAAACACCTTAGGAAATGGTATCCTCTTCAATGTTTCATTGGACACATACATATCAGCCCATCTTCTCTCCCTTTTTTCCCCCCTTTTTAAAATCTCTTGGGTTCTTAGCTTACATTTCTCATTGCTGTACTCTGGCAGGCCTGAAATTTGAGGAGCCTGTCAAGGCTCACTCAATCGTAGCTCCAGCATCTCTGCTTCAAGAAGTAAGCTCAGGTTGGTACCAGCAGATGAGGTACACCCACTGGGACATGCAGTTCCCTCCACTCATCAGTATAATGTTGTCATCATACAGATGACATGCCGGGGTTTCTGCTAACCATGTAGCTAGGACTGTATTTCATAGGGGAAAGGAATCTTTCAGGCCCTTTCCGTGATTTTAGTGTTGTAGCCTCTTTCTTCTTATCTAGTGTCATTGGTTTATTTGTTTGCAAGGGGACCTGCATTGCATAAAGTTCAACATTTGGAATACCCCAAGTCTTCTGTGAGCTGCCTTGAATTTGTGTAGAGTTCAGTTCAAACTTTAGGAAATTGAAATTGTCTTGACCTTCCAAATGCTGAAGGTTTCTAAAACCCTGTTTACTTTGCAGATTTCACTAAGCCAAATAGAAGAGCCTTCTGCATGGTTTCTGTACTGCCCTGTGATTTACTTTTCTCAGGGTGTACTAAAAGTTGCACTTTTTATACTTCAGATATTGGAAAACTGCAGAGAATCTGTAATTTATAGCATGTACTTTAAAAGCTCAAGGCTAAGATAGAAAGCTCAGACATTGTTGAGTGCTCAGTTTTAATTTCAGTTCCGATTTTTGAGTGCTCTGTTCTTATTCATGATTTTGAATTTGCTAACTTAGTTTTACACAGACTACACATACCTGTTTGCTAAATGCTCAGGAGTGTACTTTGGATTGTTTTGAGTTCTGTTTGTTAAGGACTAACTGATGTGATT